GGCCATCACACTTCATAGAGTGCTGAATCATCTGGAGAACAAACAGCACTATGTGAGGATGCTCTTTGTGGACTAAAGCTCTGCGTTTAACACTATCATCCCAGATATACTAGTAAACAAGCTGAATAATCTGCAGGTCCCCACCTCCATGTGCTCCTGGATTAAGAACTTTTTGACAAACAGACCACAGTCTGTTAGACTTGGCCCCTTTCTTTCACTATTACAGTCAGTACTGGTTTCCCCCAGGGTTGTGTCTTGAGCCCCCTGCTATATGCCTTGTACACCTTCGATTGCTCACCAAGCCACGCAAAAAACACCATCATAAAGTTTGTGGATGACACGACCATGATTGGTCTCATCTCCGGAGAGGATGAGATGGCATATAGGGCAGAAGTAGAGAACCTGTCTATCTGGTGTTCACAGAACAATCTGTCACTGAATGTCCATAAAACCAAAGAACTGATTATGGACTTCAGGAAATATGGACAGGACCAGGCCCAGTCATCATCAATGGAGAATGAGTGGAAACTGTCCCTACGATCAGATTCCTTGGCATCCATATTTCAGCTGATATCTCTTGGTCCCCTAATACCAAGGCCATAGTGAAGAAGGCTCAGCAGTGGGTTCTCAGGAAGAACAATCTGGATAAGAAGCTGTTGCTGGCTTTCTATAAAACCTCTGTGGAGAGCATTCTGACATATTGTCTGGGTGTGTGGTATGCAGGCTCCACAGCTGAGGACAGGAAAACTGTACAGAGGGTGATAAACACAGCTCAAAAGATCATTGGTTGCCCTCTGCCCTCCCTGGAAGACTTAGTCAGGTCCCGCTGCCAAAGCAGAATCAAGGCTATTATAGAAGACCCCTCACACCCTGGCAATTATCTTTTTGACCTGCTGCCATCTGGACGGAGTTTTAGGTCAATAAAATCCCACACCACTAGACTAACAAATAGTTTCTTTCCCTGGGCCATCCGAACCACAAATAAACATGAAGTCGCTACCTTATTAAGATGTGAAAAGATGTGAAATCTCAATACCCCATTCAGATGTATAATAACATATTACGGTACAATCCATCTCTTGTGTATTATACTAGGCAAAGCATTACAGTCAGGGTTGGATGTATATTTTGTGTATATTTGTAGATATTGTACTCTCAAATTGCAAATGGAGATGTGGGTACTCTATTTTTCTTATCCTCATTTTTAAATGCTTTGGTTTTATTGTATTGCAAACAGTTGCTGGGGTGCATCCACAGTTTCGTTGTACTTGTACAACGACAATAAAGTTCTTCTAATTCTAATTCTAACTATTACCAGAGGTAAAAGTCCATTAAAATGATGGAATTGAATGTGGAACTTGCCTGTCCCGATGACTGGAATAGTCTGGCCCTGGTAGTCCCTCAAGGCCAGCTTGCAGGGTGTCAGCTGTTGCTTGGTGATGTCTGGAACCAGCCACTTCAGAGTGTACCAGGACAGGATGGAGAGGGAGGAGCCAGTGTCCACCTCCATGTGGCATGGCTTTTCCTTTTAAAAGAAGATCAACATTAAACTTATTAATATTAAAGCATTAAAGCTCTGAGATATGCTTTGGTAACTGCAAAGCAATCCTCTTTGGATCTGAAAGTTTTTGTCTGTGTTTGGTTGGGGGGGGTGGCTGATTCAAATTTCTGGAAGCTTGGCAAATTCTTGCCAAGTGCCCCTTCCTCTGGCACTTCAAGCAGATCATGTTTCTGAAGCGACAGGTGGCTCTTGGATGGTTTCCCCCACAGCTGAGGCAGATGATTTGTGGCGTGGTTGGTCTTCTCTCAGCTAGGTAGCCTTTTCTTTGGGGTGTCAGAGACATTCTTAGATGGTTCACTTCTTCTTCCCCCTTGAAGTACTTGGCTTCGAAGATGACTGCTGTGCTTGCCTTGACACCTGGGAGGCTGCCTGAGTTTTGGAGTTCAGCTGCGGATAGATTTGACAGTTCTGCGGCTTGAGCTTCTTCGATTGCTTGCTTCAGGTTAAGGTCTGCTTTTGCTAAGAGGCACCTCTGTAGCCGGAGGTTTCTTTCCCCACAGACCAGTTGATCCAGTAGCATGTTGTCAAGTTGGTCTCTGAATCCGCAGGGAAGGGTGGCCGATCTGAATGCCGCCATGTACTCACTGACAGATTCTCCCTCTGCTTGGGCTCTCCTCCGGAAAGCATGGCGGTGGGCGATGCGGGATGGTCTGGGAGCATAGTGATTGCTGGGGACCTCCTGCAGCTCTTCCCAGATTACAGCCTTCCCTGTCTGTGGAGCCAGTAGGGCAGTGGCGGTGTCGAAGACCGTAGCTCTGCAGAAGCTTAAGAAATAAGCTTTTGTTCTGTTCGCGGGGATATCTGTCCCCACAAACAGGTTGGCAGCATCCATCACACACCCAAAATGAATGATATATGATGTCCATGTTTCTGTAGCCAGGTAGAATGGTGGGAAGTTGGGAGGTCCACCACAATCTGCGGTTAGCTTGTTAACCTTGTTAGTGCTTCAGCTTTGTGACTTTTCAGCTCTCTTTGTTGCCTCAGGAATGCCTCACTTCGCTAACATCCCATCCTCGTCGCCAGTTTTAAGTTTGGCGCGCAAGGAAGGAAAGGCAGAGACTGGTGAAAAGGTTAACAGGCTTTATTGGCCACAATGTAACCCAGCCGGGCGTACTGCCGCTAACTCAGCAGCCGGCTGACAGGGAACAGCTGAGCCTGTTTGACAGCTCCCTTTTATAGCGAGCTGTCAAGAGGGCTCAGCCAATCAACGATGGCTCCGGTTCCCACGTAAGCAGTGGACCAGAGTGAAGACTGTCACTGGATATAACAAAGACTTTCAGAAAATAGACTTTTGCTGTTTCAGCCATCTTCCAGAAATACCACACCTGAGCTTGAAGCAATTAAAACTAAAGGCTAAACCTTACTTCAGCAAATATAAAAGCCTACTTATCATTTCATGCATAATTAACTCCCTGCTGGTTAGCTGATATGAAGATAATCACACTGAGAAATTAGCTACCCTATTATTATTTTTTAGGAATTATATCAATTTGTTTTATCATTTGATAAGTTTTCTTTTTTTAAAAAATAGTATAAATTGCAATTTTTAGCCTGTGATTGAAATGCAAACTATTTCATTCTATAGGGAAGATTGAGTTACTCTCAGCTTCTTTTTACATATTGCACGTATTGCACTATGAATGATAAACAAGGATAAATTATAAACAAGCAATTAAACATGTGGAGATTTGTAAGCTTTGTCACTTAAGTAGTATTAAACTCTAACCCCTTCTTTTCAATGCTATCCTATTTTAATACCACTGTAAAATTATTGAGTTATAAGGTCAAAAAGCCTATTGAGGGCACATTGTGCCCAATCTACATTAAGATATGTGCCAGTTTCAATAATAAAGGGATATCACAGTCATCCAATATCCCAGGTTTAGAAAGTGACCAATTTCTGCCACCAGTACAAGATGGCTTTCCCAGTCCTTTTCCATGGAGTCAATTTAGAATATTGCAAGCATGTGTACAGGCAACATATCTGCTATTACCACATTTGCCCCCAAATAAGACTCTGTCTTATTTTCTTTTGATCTCCAAAATAAGTGCCAGAGCTTATTTTCGGGGTATATCTTAATATTTTTTTTTGTCCTACCCTTCAGGGCAGCTCAAAGTTCCAGAGAAGTCAAAAATGGCACTTTGGCTGTGGCCTTTGCTGCTGCAAAAGGCATTGCTGGCACTCTCTGAGCATGCTCGAGGCCAGCAAGGCACCACAGCTGCTTTAGCTTTGCCCTCAGTCGGGAGCAGGGTGGTTTATGGCGAAATGGTGGGTGAATTCAATGCTTGTAGTGGGTTGCGTGTGTGAGCGGTGGCATCCCTGCAAGGTTCATTACACTGGCACAGCTGCTCACAGACAAGGCTTGTTGTGGCATTGTGCGCGCAAGCAGTGACACTGCTGTGAGGTTCATCATACCAGTGCAGCCACTTATAGTAGAACGCTGTGAAGCTCATCGTGGTGGCAGTGCCACTCACACATGCAATGATTAACAAGCCTTGCAGCATCCTGCTGCAAGAGGCTGTGCTGGTGTGACGAGCCTCACAAAGACCCATTTCTGGTGAAGTTTGTGGGAAAGAAACAAGCCAGGATCTGAAATTTTTTAACTTTCAATTTCCAAACATTATGGGTGCATTGTGACATGTCTTGGGGATTGTAAAGATATTTTGCTTACTTTAATATAATTTAAATGTTCTTGGTAAGTAACTACATAAATATCATAACTTTTTAACATTTTGTTTGTTTCATTGGGGTACTTAGCCTCTTTCAGTCCAATACAGTCTAATACAGGGTTCTGGAACATAAATGCATATTAATAGTTTCAGCTCATTAGTAAATAGTTTCATGACAGTGAATGGACAATAAAAATAACTAGAAAAAATCAACTCATTTTATTTTTGTAGTCACTAATTCTATCAATATACTTTTTTAAAGCTCAGTAAGTTATGAGAGGGGAAACATTATGTTTGATCTTCACTATATCATATGCATCTGTATCACAGGGAAATTTTCTACCACCATATGTATGTTCAGAGGTTTCATCCTGCTCTTCAATTGAAAACTGGCTTCCAATTACATTGCTTATGGGATGCCAATGTTTGCCTGAAGCCAATTACCTGTAAAGGCTAAACTGGCCAGAGATAATCTTTGATGGAAAGGGTGAAAACTTTTTTTAAAGTTCTTTTTCAAAAGAATAGCTTCTCTCTTTCTATCTCTTCCTCTATATTGCAATCTCCTCAAAGTTACTTCAAAGTTAATCCAAATTAGTTAAATGATTTCTTCTTCCAGCTTCTACCTTTTCCGGTTCAAAGCCCCACCGCTATCAAAAAAACAATTGACACCTTTTTTTTTCTCCTTTCTCTTCGCCACTTAAAGTCCTTTTTAAAAAAATTCTTAAAAATTAATCCTGAGGTAGCTTTCATTTAATTATAATGTCCCATTTCTCCTGCTGTCCACTCCTTTCTCTCTCCTGTGCAATCTTATTCCAGCTTACTCTTCCCCTTCAGGGTGGCCATTTTAGACCACCACTTCAGATGTCTTCGGGAGGGAGCTTTGCCAAGCCAGGGAGGGGGTTTGCGACCCCCTTCTACCCAGCTGATGGTCTCACCTTCCTCCACCACCCCTACGAGGCAGGCTTCTGCCCCAGATCTAGCTGATCTCAGACTCTCAGGGCTCTCAGACGAAGAAGCACGGACCAAATCCGTAGACAATCGTTGTCAATGGTCCGTCATCGGGGAAGTCCAAATCTGGAAGCCCCTGAAGTTACTTACTCCTTTTTTTTCTTTCTTCTTTAAAGACTGTTTTAATTACCAGGAAGTACTGATTTTGTTCTTCCATATTGCTCAGATACTATTTTGTACATTTCCCCCCCAAACAGGGATCATAAAATAGACAAAATGATTCTACATCCTCACATATTCTATCATACTGACCTTATTCCATCACACCATCATAATGGTAGCACAGCAGAGTAAACCACTTACTTGGTTACCTTGGTAACAATGCATTATGGTACATACTGACATCATAACTCCTCTTTTAAAAGAGACAACGTGATTAGTAAACAAATAGAAGTGCCTTTCATGATTCCAGAAAAATGAAAATCATTTCCACTTTGGGATCAGTAATAATTATAGTTTGTCCAATTTATATTACCTATGTTTATTTCGGACAAAGAAAACATGAAAAGAAGCATCTAATATTCATGAATTTCACTTTTCTTTTGAAAGAAAATTGTGTCATTTCTTTCTTTTTTTTTTTTTTTAAATAAATTTTATTAAATTTACAATTAAAAACATATCGACATTACATACACAAAAGGAAAAAAACAAAAAAAGAACACTCGGTCTTACAAACTGGAAAGAAAAGAGAAGAGGAGATGTAAAAGAAAGAAAGAAACAAAGGAAGAGAAAGAGAAAAAAGAAAAAAAAAGATGCGTTTAAAAAACAGACAATATCCTTTTTGACAGTCTGCAAGATCCAATTCTCCTACCTTAATTTGAATACACACATCTTATCGAAATCTATGCTTAAATTACCCATTGTCCATTAAGCAGTTTATCTCTGGACTAACCAATTATACCAAGAGTTCCAATTATCGTAAAATGTTGAAGCCTCTTTGTTTTTAAGTGCTATAGTTAATTTATCCATTTCTGCACAATCACATATTTTCTGGATGACCATTTGTTCTGTAGGTGCATAGGGTGATTTCCAACACTGGGCAAACGCTAATCTGGCTGCAGTTAGGATATGAATTGTTACATATTTCATCTTTTTGGGTAAATGTTTATCAGAGATCCCTAGTAGGAAGAACTCTGGTTTGTATTCGATTTGTTCTTTGGTTATCTCCTCCAACCATTTTCTGATTTTTTGCCAATATTTCTGGGTTTCTTTGCAAGACCACCACATATGAAAGTAGGTTCCTTCTATGCTTTTACATTTCCAGCATTTTGGACTCGTGTTTGGGTTCATTTTCGCCAACCTCGAAGGGGGCAAGTGCCATCTATAAAACATTTTGTATGTATTTTCTTTATATGCTGCCGATTTTGTAATCTTAATATTTCTGTTCCAAATCTTTTCCCATTCTGATAATGTAATACTTCTTCCGACATTCCTGCTCCAGGCTATCATGTTCCCTTTGACTATCTCTTGTTCTAATTCTACTTCCAGTAAGTATTTATAGAATTTGGATATGTTCTTTTTGTTTGATCCTAGAAAAATTTTATCTAAATACTGCAGTTTGTTATAAATTCCAAAGTCTTTTATATCTTGTTTGTATCTGCTATGGATTTGTATATATAACCACTGATCAATTTTAAATCCCTGTTCCTGTAGTTCTTGTCGAGTTTTTAATTTCCCTTGCGGATCTAATAAATCTTTATATTTAATCATTTTTGTTATGTCCAAATTATTGGGATGTACCATTGCCTCCATTGTTGATAGCCAGATCGGAATTTTTAGATAGTGTTTTTTGCATATTTTTTTCCAATTAATTAATAATGAGTCCCTAATGAGGTGTCTATGAAAGTAAGACTGCTTGGGTTTCCCCACTTCCCATAAGAAGGCATGCCACCCTCTCTGGAGGTCATGCCCTTCTAATGCTAAAATTCTTTTGTTAAGTAAGTTCACCCAGTCTTTTATCCATAATAAGATAGCTGCCGAATAATATAATTCCCAATTTGGAAGGGCTAGACCCCCTCTACTTTTCGCATCTTGTAAGGCCTTTACATTGATCCTGGGTTTTTTCCCCTGCCAAATAAATTTAAGTGTGATCTTATTTAATTCTTCAAAAAAAATTTTTGACAACTTAATTGGGATTGTCTGGAATAAATAAAGAAATTTTGGTAATATATTCATTTTAATCGAGGCAATCCTGCCCAATAAGGAAAGCTGCAACTTATTCCAGGATTCTAAATCTTTCTTTGTTTGTTGAAGTAGTTTATCATAATTGTTCTCTTTGAGTGATTTACCTTGTGGTGTTAACCATATTCCTAAATATTTGACCCTTTTTGTTACCTGTATCCCCATCATTGTTTCTAATTCTTCCTTCTGGTTTTCTGTTAAATTTTTGGTCATTAATTTCGTCTTTTTTCTATTAATTTTTAATCCTGCCACTGTGCCAAATTGTTCTAATTCTTTTATTAGATTATAACCTTTTTCCATGGGTTCCTCCAAAAAGAAAACCATATCGTCAGCAAACGCTTGTAGTTTATATTCTTCTGATTTGACCCTCACTCCTCTAATTTCAGAGTTTTGTCTAACCCGTGTTAAGAGTGATTCTAGGGCAAAAATGAAAAGAAGAGGTGAGAGAGGGCAGCCCTGTCTGACACCTTTTTCTATATTTATTGGATCTGTTTGTTCGCCATTGATTAGTATATTAGCCTGTTGTGTGTTGTAAATAGTTGTTATAATGTTTTCAAATTTGGTACCAAGACTCATATTGTAAATTTTTTGAATTAAAAAGTGCCAATTTAAGTTATCAAATGCTTTCTCAGCATCTAAAAACATGACAAGGTAATTGGAGAGGAATGGATAGAGTTATTGAATAAAGATATTACATGGTCTGAATTGAAGTCAGCAATGGAGAATCAAAGTAATAACAAATCTCCAGGACCAGATGGGATTCCGGCAGAACTATATAAAGCAATATTGGAACTAGTAGGACCACTGATGCTGGAAGTGTTTAATGAGGTACTTCTGGCAGCCAAGATGCCGGACTCGTGGAGGGGGGCGCTGATTTCGCTAATCCCGAAGGAGGATGCAGATCATAGATACATCAACAACTATAGACCGATTTCACTTTTAAATGCCGATTATAAATTGTTTACTTCTATCATAGCTAATAGAGTAAAACAAGCTTTAAATCCACATATACATGAAGATCAAAATGGATTTCTTCCGTCCCGACAAATAAAGAACAATTTAAGAACCGTTATCGATGTCCTAGAATATTATGAAGCCCACCCGGAAAATTGTGTCATTTCTAACTAAAAGTATGATAGGGATGGATCTTCTTTATTAAGCATATTGTTCTAACTAAACACAAATTATGGCTCCTTTTCATTCTCTCATTCTAAACTTTCATTCTCTCATTCTAAACTTTGAATAATTCAAAATGAGCCATATACAGTTATGGACAGGAGAATTGTTTATAGGTAGGGTCACAATCATTTAATTTAAAGGAAATCCTATTGTATTCCTGGATTTTAATAGTAAATTAAATAGAAGAATATTTTAAATATAGCCTGATTCTGATGAAACAATAATTAAGAAAGCCTGTGTACAAAGGAGGATACAGAAAATGAAGGCAATCTAATGACTTGATCTCTGGCCCATGGTTTTTATATAAAGGGCCCTTTTCCTCATTAAGATATTCTGCTTGGGTTGAATATGTGTTATCTTAAAAGTTTTTGCAAGGGTGAAAAGATTCGTCTGAGCAAAGGAAAGGAACTTCAAAGAAAGTACAAGTATTTGTCTGAGCTAACTAATAAAACAATCACTATTTCTATAGAACTATAAATAACTATTCTAGAAATTGGGATGACTATTAAAATTCTTACTGAAGCCACAATTAGGCCAATATTATTTTTTTTGAAGATGGACTTTGTTCTTTTCTTTTTAAATAGATTTCGTCACTTAGAAACCTGACACTAAGACTAACGTTTGGATAAACATTTTCAAAATCAAATACTGAGTTAGGGGTTTGCAGCCCTTGAAATTTGAATTCCAAATGGTGATTTAGAACATATGGGAACATGGATGTTTGCACTTGTCTGCAACTTTTAAAACAGTGAGATATTTTGCTGGGTTTGTGCAGCCCTAATGTTCAGTATAGATAATGTTCTCCTTTTTTGCTGCTTCATAAATTTATCGTATAGACCAACTATGACTACTCATATGGCTATGTGAGTATAACCATGACAGGCAAAAATATTCATTAACATGATACTTGCTTCAAATAAGCTTATGTTTAAGCATGCTTTTTGTTGTTGAACCAATAGCAACAATCCCTAGATTTCTTGAACTTCTGCTTTATATGGTTGAAATTTTTTCTTCACTTTTAATGTATTCTTTATGTCTATGATGGTTTGAACATTTATTTGGCATTCAGTCATAAACCCATGAGATCATATTGCTATTACAGAAAACATTATAATAACTAGATTGGAACAAGAGTAACTGCACTCAAGTAATATATTTATGTCATGTTGTCCTTATTAATTTTTACATGTTAACAAAACATTCAAATGAAAATGTAGCCCTGGATTGTGTTGACAAATTAGTTACAGAGGTTTCAGACAGCCTGTCTCTCTGTTATTATGTTAATTATGCCTTGTGTTTATATGGGTCAAGTAAGAACAGTCAAATCAGAGTGTATGATTTATTTACATATATCTTTTAGAGAGTCATTAAATGGAGCTGCTCCCAGAAAGGTCCCTCTATGTACAAATACCTTGTATTTATCAATACAAATTCACCATTTTGCCAACACACCAACTAACAAGTTAATTCATGAATACTTAATCCAAATGCATTTCCAACTTTAAAACAGATCATGAAATAAGGATTTATAGGCTTTGTTAAATACCAATACCTCTTAGTCATCCACTGGAGAACCCATTATCTGTTGGGTCATCCTCAGTGATGTCACTATTTCAAAGATATTTACTTACCTAAACAGTTCAACAAAATACAATAAAATACAGCACAGATAAATGATTACCTATCAGCTCAAAATCAAATCCCACAACTACCACAACCACTACCACTACAATCACAACTACAACCAAAAATAACCACCAAACCACAGCCATAAACAATTACTATCCCATCAAATAATTCCACAAATAATATCCCCTTACTCATCAGAGACATCATGGAACGTGAACAGAAACCTCCAAATGCCATCTTATTTGGTCTCGAAGACACCAACGAATCAGACGACATCACCAAAGTTTGCGATATCATAAGCAACTCAAATACAACAAACATCTCTCCTGAAGATATCATTGAAATAACCAGAGATGGCCCGGGGTACAAATACAATGACGGTTCTGTGGCCCCAAGATTTTGTAGAGTTATTTGCAAAAATGAGTCCAGCAAACGTATATTCATTCATACAATAAACACGATTGCAAAATCCAATCCCACCCATAAAAAACTTCGCTCAAGACCAGACTTATCCATACTGCAAAGAATCCGCTCCCATGAACTTCTCGCAGAACTCAAAAATCATCTAGACAATGGAGAAAAGAACCTGTACATTGACTACCATGCTGATTGCATCAAAAGAAAGTCACACAACCCACAACTCCGCATCCAACCCCACCCCATCCAATCCAACATCACTCAGAACTAGGCACGCATTCCCCTAACTACCTCTATTCCAACCACAACTGGCCTTAATGCAAGCTACTCAATGCAAGAAGCCTTGTAAATAAAATACCTGAATTCCTCCTCTTACTAAATACAGCTAAATTCGACATTATATTTGTCTGTGAAACATGGCTCAACGCATCTCTCCCTGATTCCATTATCACAGTAATAGACCATCATGTTTACTGATCAGATCATGAAATCCATAGAGGAGGTGGTGTTGCTATCTTCTATAAAAAGTCCCTACATCTAAAAAACATCCAAGTTACCCAGGAGGTTGCTATTCCTGAGACCATCGTCTGTGAACTGTCCTTAAATATCACATTTCAGTTCTTACTAAGTTACAGAGCCCCTGATTATGACATCGAACATGCAAACAAGCTAAATACACTACTAACATGGGCAGCATCCTGCCCACATGCTTTTATCTTTCTTGGTGACTTCAATCTACCTCATATTAACTGGACCCTTAACGAATGTACAACTGAACCCACACATGCAACCTTCTACAATGCAGTAACAAATCTGGGACTAGAACAACTAGTAACCAACAACACTAGACTTAACCACTGCCTCGATCTCATCTTCTGCAATAGTTTGAATTCAATTTACGGAATACAAATTAAAGAACCCTTTTCCAACAGTGACCACAACATGATTGACTTTTGTCTCAACATACGTCCACACAAAAATCATCACAACGATGGAATCCCCAATTATAACTTCAAAAAAGGCAACTATGATCTTATAGACAACAATCTCTCATCCCTTGATTGGCATTCACTGGATGCAATACTGTAGAAGACCATTACAACATATTTTTACTTGAAGTCAAAAGAGTCATCAAATTATATGTACCAATAACTCCCAAAACCAGAATTACCCATAACAATAAGGAAGCTTCAATCCAAAAAGAAATCCCTTTGACAGAAAAACAAATCTGATCATGTTGCCAACTTCAAAAGCCAATACAAAAATTTATGCCACCAGATAAAAACTGAATGCAGCAATCATCACATGAAACAAGAAGAAAACCTTCTACGCACCAATTCCACCCACGCTTTCTACACTTTGTAAACAACAAACTAAAAGACTCAAGGTCCATCCCACCCCTGAAAGGACCCAATGGTAAAAACTGCAACGACAACACCATTAAAGCCAACCTCTTTAACACATTCTTTGGCTCAGTATTTGTAAACAGCAATGGATCATGCCTAGAATTTCCTAGTCGAACCACAGACAACTACAATGATCTAATACATATCGATTTTACAGAAGACAATGTTGAAAAAGCACTACACAATCTAAAACCATCTTTATCTATTGGACCAGACGGAATATGTGCCTACTTCTTAAAAAAGCTATCCACTGCCATAGCCAAACCTCTAAGCATAATCTTTGAAAAATCTTTCAGGACCAGCTCCTTGCCAAAACTACGGTCACAAGCCATGGTCATCCCATCTTCAAAAAGGGAGACCCCAACCTAGTTGAAAATTACAGACCAATCTCTTTATGCTGTGTCACCTGTAAAGTCATGGAATCAATTATTAACCAATCCATTATCCTCCACGTGGAGACAAACAACCTACTCTCTAATAAACAATTTGGTTTCAGAAAAAAATATCCTGTAATCTGCAACTCTTACACTGCAAAAACATATGGATTACACAACTCGATCAGGGCAAAGCAATAGACGCAATCTACATAAACTTCTGTAAAGCCTTTGATTCAGTGGTACACGACAAACTACTCCTAAAACTAAAAACTTATGGTATCTCTGGAGACCTGCATAACTGGAAGAAGCATTCCTGTCAAACAGACAACAAATGGTCAAAATTGGGAGCATCCTATCAAATTC